GAGTCAATATTCATCCCACTACCAAAAAAGCCAAACCCACAACACTGCAATGAATTCCGTCTGATAAGCCTTATGAGTCATGCAGTAAAAGTCCTACTAAAAATCGTACATAATCGTATCTATAGAAAGTGCGAAACAATCATCGGAGACGATCAGTTTGGATTCACAGCCGGCATGGGAACGAAAGAAGCCCTGTTCAGTTTACTAGTTCTCGCCCAAAAATGCTACGACCAACAGAAAGATATATTTATATGCTTTATAGACTTTGAAAAAGCATTTCATAAAGTAAGACACGACCTACTATTAGAACGTTTGCAAGAAGTCGGTTTAGATGGAAAAGACATCAAATTCTTAAAAAACTTGTACTGGAAACAAAACGCCAGAGTTAGGATCGAAGGTTCCACATCCGCAGAAGTAGAAATTAGGAGGGGAGTTAGACAAGGATGTGTTCTGTCGCCTCTGCTGTTTAATCTTTACTCCGAGTTTCTATTTAAAGAAGCATTGGAGGATTCCAAGGATGGAGTCAATGTGAATGGCGTAAATATCAACAGTATCAGATACGCCGATGATACAGTGTTAATTGCGGATTTCGACTTAGGTCTACAACGACTCATCGACAAGACCAACTCGACCTGTGAGCAATTTGGTATGAAAATAAACATTAAAAAAACCAAAGCGATGTCAATCCGAAAAAACCAAAACGTACCTCAACCTTGCACAATAAATGGGCACATTTTAGAACAGGTCAATATATTTAAGTACCTGGGATGTTGGATCGATAGCAGCCTAAATCCTGATCTAGAAATAAGATCGAGAATAGAATAGGCCAGAATATCTTTCGAAAAAATAAAAAAACTGCTTTGTGATTCTCGAATAAAACTCGAAATTCGACTACATTTATCAAAATGCTACTCTTCTATATGCAGAGTCAGGTCGACTCTTCTATATGCAGTTGAAACGTGGACCCTTAAAATATCAACCGTAAATAAATTGGAGGCCTTTGAAATGTGGATCTACCGGAGAATACTTAAAATTTCATGGACATCGCATACCTCAAACGAAGAAGTACTGCATAGAATAGGCAAGGAAAGAGAACTTTTTAACACAGTAAAAGTTAGAAAAACATCATACCTAGGCCACATACTGAGAAATAACAAGTACCAATATGCCCAACTTATAGTGAAAGGAAAAATCGAGGGAAAGGGAGGCCTAGGAAGGAAAAGACTATCGTGGCTCAGAAACATCCGACAATGGACAGAGCTAAATTTTGAACAGCTAATAAGAACAGCTGAAGATAGAGGAGACTTTAAAATTGTAGTAGCCAACCTCCATTGAGGAGAGAGGGCACTTTAAGAAGAAGAAGAAGGGAACATCCATAAACTACATAGTAGAGAAGGGAAAGGGAGACTTTGCTTGTTACGATGGTATACCACAGAAGGGAGGGGAACATGAGTGCACATCTGACTTCGTTTGGTGTATTTCAATCTGTCGCTAGTGTCTCTATAAATATAATTTTGTTTACTTTCTCTTATGATACATTCCTAAATACAGTTTAACAGTAAAATCCAGAAATAACATTGAATTTAATAAAAATACTGAAAACAGTTGTAATTGCGACGTCGACATGAGGGGGGGTCTTAACTGTAAACGACGCTTTACGACGTAATTTATGGATATTCCCTACTGATATCTGATTATAGACAAAATCATTCTCCAAATTTTTGCAGCCAAGATATACTTCCATGTACCATTTTTACTGTATACTGGTCCTTTTAGCTTACATTATCATGTAAACCATATCGTAATTGCATGTTATATTTCCTTAGTAACGGGTAATTTATTTTAATTCAATTAATTGCCTAATTAGTGTTTTTCATGGTCGTTTTTTTGTTCAAAGATCGAACTCCACGTTTGCGACACATTTTCTCTGAATATTTGCTACGAATTCTACTACATCTTTAACTTCTTATCTTTATCTTCATCTTAGCTGCCGGGTATGTGACCTGATAATATTTAAAATGATAATGACTTAAGGCTGATAGTTTTTGAGATAACTTTGTGAATTAAAACAAATCCAATGTTCACTTTCAAACACTTCAAATATCATGATTTGACGTTTTTTTAAACCGACATTATTTCATAAGTTCTTGTTATTTTTAAAAGCATTTATTATTTAATCTAGTCAGTTCAAGTACATAGTAGTACAATTATTTTGTTAGATTTGTTTGCATCGAATATCAAAAGATAAGCATACTTTTATTGACAATTCCGTACAATTTAAAAACTGGTATAAAACACAATTCGAGTCCAAACTATCACAATTAGGAGTATCAGTATATTATTTAGATAATGCATTACATTATTTGGAAATATTTCAAATAGCAATATATTTTTTATTATACATTTTTAGTTTTAAGCTTTTGTGACAGTGTAATTCCCAGGTATTTTATTTCCATTGCTTGTTTAATACTGTTTTAGGTTCTGTAAGTTTTCCATCTATTCTGACTTCTATTTTGTTGTTTCGGTAGATGTTTTCGATAGTTTTTATAATATTAAGGAAGCTTCTCTATTATACAGAAGATGGATTACATCTTTGAGTCTTATTCTGTCAAACGCTTTCTTTAGGTCAATCAGACAGAAATACTGGTCTATTATACTCTAGTGATTTCTCAGTAATTTGTTTTATAACGAATATTTAATCTGTACATGATCTTCCACTACGAAAACCCTGTAGTTTCGGGCTGTTTTTTTATCTCCTTTTTTGAATAGTAGAATTAGTTCGCTCGTTCTCCATTCTTTCGATATTTGATTGTGTTTTATAATTTTATTAATTAATATTGTTAATTGTTTTGTCATTGCTGCTCCACAATATTTCAGTAATACGTTTGGGATCCCGTCTTTACCTGCTTCTTTTCTGTTTTTCATATTTTCAACTCTTTTAAAAACCAACTAACAAATACTTTATCTATTTTATCTAAGTTTGTGTATCAGATAACAAAACATTTCTTGGGATCACATTAGACCATTGACATCTGTCTCGCTAGTTCATCCCTCATATCCCCATAGGCGTCACCACAGGAATTATGATTTGTTACAATTAGATTAAATATATTATTATACCTTAAATAAATCCCTATCTAAACAGAAAATATATGTTTCAAGTAAAAAGAATAAAAATAAAAATAAGTGGAGCCGATATTTCCGTGCAACAGTTCAATCTATTCAAAACTGAAGATGATTATAAATAAAACGATATCGTTATCAGTAGCCGTTTTGTGTCCACTATTGAACATACGAATGTTCAAAATTCAATATTGCTTCTTTTATTGAGCATACTTGTGCTGAATGCTCTTGATATTGTCCGACCATCTTGTTGGAGGACATTCTCGAATACGATAAACATCGAGTCTAGGTTTCCATTCTAAAATTTTCTTGGTCCACATTTGACTCCCATGCTGTCTTGTTTTGATTGTGTAGGGTTGGTCAAAAACAAACGCAGGTTTAATTGAGTCGCAGTCTGTAGCTGGGGTAGCGCATCCAGCTCTCCTGCTCCATTTCTACTTCAAGGTTGGCACCCGCTGAGCGCAGTCGCATCATTGTCACCAGCGCCACATATTTAACATATTCGAAGGGTGATGTCAATAAGCAGCAGCTGCTGTTGTTTTCATGAAACCTGGTATATGTAGGCAAGCCATCCGCTGAATATGGTTTAGTTTGTTGATCGCTATTGCCTTTAGCACTTTTGGTACTCAAGTAATAGCGCCGTAAGTTAGCTTTGTCGTAACGACAGTTGTGTTGATTCAGGCAATCACCCTGGGTGAAAGACCCCAGGTACGTCCGACCGTTTGTCGACACTGCTCAAGCGTAATACAAAGTTAATTCAACTCTTCAGAAAAGTTGGACTGCATTTTAGAATCCCTGGCGGTATTAAGCCCGTGAGTGTTTCTCGCACGATGTTTCTATTAGTTTGAGAGCAACTTGTAAACATTCACATAGTGTGTACTCAACTGCGTTGCTGCTGACTTAGTCAATCGGAATGTCTAGAACGATTTTCACAGAAGTGATCATGAGAGATCATACTGAAAATCCATTCGTTTACGGCCATTGCCATTCCTGACATTTCCACGGTCATTCCAGGCATTACATTGAGCAGTTGGGTGATGGTTGGGAATGGGGGTTTATCAAACGCTCCCTCAAAGTCTATGAATATACCTAGGGTGTATTCTTTATTATCTAGCGATCTTTCAATTACTTGTTGTAGTGCAGAATCGGTAGATCTTCCCGAAATATATGCATGATGATTTGGGTGAAGGGAGTTATGAAGCAGAACTCATCCCTTATGTACCTCTCGCATCCCTTTCCATCGTTTTCAAGAAAAACGATGTACTTCCTAGGAATTTATCTCCAGCCAAGGAGGCTATGAACATTGCCACAATGTGCGGCAGAATGATATCCTGTCACCATCGACTTGCATGAAAATTTGGATTTAGGTTCTTCTTACCCCCCTCTTTACTTTTAGACTTGTGCCGTTGGTTGATTTTTATTTTTTAGGGGTAAAAATTACCTTATTATAAATAAATCGTGTAATTGATTCAAATAATCTTCTAATGAAGTGAATGAATGTCTTACTTACTTTACTTTATCGTGTCCGGACATGTTATTCATAAAATTTCGGCCTAGTATCGGGCTACGTCGGTTCCATCTTTGTTGGCGAACAACAAATCTTCGAGGGTACATCGATGAGGACAGTTTCTGCATTTAAAAAGATGTTCCATATTCTGTGTTTCTCCACAGTCACAGTTCACACCATCTTGGTCGATTTTCCCCCATTTTGCCATGTTTGATTTTACTGGAGCGACCGCCGTTCATGTTTTGATGATGAAGAACAGAAGTTTTATGATTAAGTAAATATGTTGTGGCGAGACTTTGACGCGCTTTCTATATTATGATTTACCTTTGCCTGATTGTATTTTTATGCTAAATCGTTTTATTTTTTGCAGTTGTGAAACAAAGGATGCAAATGATAAATTCTCCTTACACATCAGCTTTAAGGTGTGCTATAAATATATACAAATTAGAAGGACCCAGAGCATTTTACAGGTCGTATACAACACAACTCACTATGAACGTACCTTTCCAGAGTATCCAATTTTCGGTATACGAATTATCACAAAGAATAATCAATAAAGAGCAGGTACATAATCCGACGGCGCATATGATAAGCGGAGCGCTGGCAGGAGGAGTCGCCGCAGCCATCACTACACCCTTAGATGTCTGTAAAACACTTTTGAATACTCAGCAGACTCAAGCTACAAGTGGAATGGTGGAGGCTATGCGAACGGTCTATCGGTATAGAGGAATTTCTGGATTTTTCAGAGGTAATGTAGTTTTTCATGAAATCTTTTAAAAAAGAAGTGTTTTTATCGTTATCCCGTTATTTATGCACGACTAACTCTCATATTTGCCTAAAAATATATATGTAACAGCGCTACAGACCCCTGAGGCCCTTCTATTTTCTTCGTCAATTTTTTAACTTGTTCCGGTCGTTTTCTCCCTCTCTCTCTCTGTCTCTCTCTCCAATTCTACACTTCTATACCATTTAAATCATATTTAACTGCTTCTAATCATATTTTCCGTGGTCTTCCTCTCTTCGTTTTACCCCCGCCTCTAAAAAACACCTGTTTTAGACAACGTTTTTGCTGCATTCGAGTGATGTGACTTATCTGACTCTGTGTGCTTTGACTTTTTGTACAATTAGAGGTTTTATATACATCTCCATTACCTCTTTATTTGTTCTTCTTGGCCAGTTTCCCTCCTCCGTAATAATACCACCAAAAATCTTCCGCAATACCTTCCTTTCCCAGATCTCGATTTTTGTTTAATTTTTCTTATTCATAGTCCAGGTCTCACAGGCATACACTGCCACTGGCCGAATGACTGTCTCATATATTCGAATTAAAATATACATAAATCTTTTGCTTTTAGAATGTTGTGTAATGAGATGATAAAATTGAACAAAATTGAACAAATATCTTCGTACAAATACCTTGGAGCATCGATCACAGAAGATACTGATCAGACAAAAGAAATAAGATGCCGCATTGAAATTGCGCGGTCAACTTTTAATAGAATGAGAAAAAATTTTTGTAATCGCGATATCAATATATCGCTCCGGATAAGAATGCTTCGATGTTATATTTTCTCTACCCTTTTGTATGGAGTTGAAGCTTGGACACTTAAAAAATCCAACATTAAAAACCTAGAAGCATTCGAAATGTGGTGTTTCCGACGTATTTTGAAAATATCATGGATGGATCGCAAAACAAACGAAGAAGTTCTCGAACAACTAGGAAAACAATGCGAAGTTTTAAATTCCATAAAAATCAGGAAATTGGAATACTTGGGCACATCATGAGAGGTGAAAAGTACGAACTACTAAGGAATATAATGCAGGGTAAAATCAAAACTTAGGAAGACGTAAAATCTCGTGGCTACGCAATCTCCGTGAATGGTTTGGATGCAATTCAATTGAACTATTCAGACGAGTAACCAATAAAATTATAATTCCCAGAATGATTTCCAATCTCCGACAGGAGTGGAACTTGAAGAAGAAGAAGAAGTAATGAGCCCATTGCTCTACTTCCTTTTAATAGTCTCTTTTCTATTATTTTTTTCTTCCCCTTCTTTTGCTATTGTTACACCCAAATACTCGAACTCGAATTAAGTCTTGTCATACTTTGAATTTCGTATGACCCTCATTTAATCACGTCTCGTCCATATATTAAATTTTTTTGCCAAAAGGTCTAAAATCACAAATTGTTTGTAAATATTGTCTCCGCCATATCACTAGTTCGTCTTAGTCGATTAACAAACTTTTCTCTTTACATACCGAAAATCCATTTCACGGAATCCTCTTTGTAAAACCCTCATAGATATTTTCGTATGTCTTTATGATTTTTATGTCTTTTATGAATAAGTTTTTGAAGTGCCTTATTACCTTGAATTATTCGAAAAACCGTACAAGCCGATATTTTCGTTAAATCACAATACAATGCCACGACGTCCTCTATTAACATATCTTCTTCTACGTAATCCCTCATAAACCGATTTAACCATTTGTTTTTCTTTCACAGATAACCACCTCCTTTTATCCGGTTTATTATCATATGTACTGCACGTTGGTATTGATGCCATGTTACCCGACTGTGTGCTCATGTAATACTTTTGACTACCTGATTTTAATATTTATTTCCACTATTTGCCGGCGAGTCTTAACACTGTTGCAGTATTGCAATAAGAATATTACTTTCGAAAAGGATAGCAATGTCCGCCTGTCCCTCTCTTGACTTTCAGGTATACTTCAACGACACTGATAAGCTGCACGCGGTACTAAATAATAAATTTCGCAACAAGGCGAGTATACTTTATCTAGTTCGGACTTACAGTAGATGTAACCGGCAAAAATGATAATTGAGAAGTAAATTTGTGTGCTAATAAATAAATAAATATATAGCCGCTTACTATAGAGTGTTTACGAACGACAAAATGTCTGCCCTGACAATCATATTGAATTCAGGGTATATATAGGTCGAGGATCATGTTACCGATTCTAAACTCGGATAAAGGAGGAAGATTCTTGGTTTAGGATATTATCCTATCTATGGTAGGTTACAAGGAACTACACTCATATTACCAGTAACCTTTCTAGGATTAAAATGGATTTGTCGATGAGAGCAGAAGCGAAAAAATGAACTTCGAAATAGAAAAAGAAGGATATCTTGCGTATGGCTATGGTTACATGAAACATAAAAATGTTTAACAAGACCAAGAATCGCTAAAAGAAGTAAGGAAAACAAAATCTATATAATATGCGGTCTGCAAGAAACGAAAAATAAAGGGAAAGGCCAACTGCATCACCACAATACATAATAATTTACAGTAGAGTGAAAAAACAAAAACAAGCAAAAGAATGAGCTCCAATAGCAATACAGACAAAGTACCGAAGTTTTTACAATAATGTAAGTATATTTCATCGCAAATCTTGAGGGGATGTATCTACAATAATTAAATACATTGCAAAAGTTAAGAACGATAGGTAAACAATCAGCATGATGGATTTGGGAGCCAGAAAGTATAATAAATTAGAGAAAGTTGCAAACTAGATGGAAAGATAACTTTCAATACTGAGGGGGTGACGTTCAGGACATATAATGTTGGAAGATATTGTTTTATCTTCCATTGTTTGAAACTCCTCATTCTGAAAGTTAAAAATCGTCGAAAATTATAAATTTCCAAATCGAAACAATTCTGGTAGTTTTGAATGTCTTGTTTCAGCTATTTTAATAATTTTTGTTTTAGGTATCCAAGCAAGAGTGATGTTCCAAATGCCAGCGACAGCGATATGTTGGTCGACATACGAATTTTTCAAATACACTTTAAAAAGTTCTTCCGATATCAGGTTAATACCAGGTAGTAGTGGTAAGGTCTCAGCATCTTCAATTGATAAGGAAATAAAACTTGGCAGCGATAGTATTCGAATAGATTCAAATAATGAAAAATATAATTTAAAAGTTAAAGAGTTACCCGCTGTATCCGGTGCTGGTTTGTATGGCTCAATATCTTTTAATACTATGCACAAAGCTGAATACAACCAGAAAGATTCCTATTTAGATGTAGCTCACACATAGTACACCAACTCTGTCTCAGACTTTTTTTTATCAATATAAAATGTATTATTTTACCAGTCAGAGAGAATCAATCATTTGTTGTCTATTTTCAATGACGTTTAAAAAATAAACCAAATCTTTTTAGGCATTCATTTTTATAATTATGAGACAAAACATCAACTAGAGTTCTCCATAGAAAGCGAATATATTTTTAAGACTTATTCCGTACAAATGTAGATGTATTACAAAAAAAATCTTATTAGTATACCACTGTTTGTTGACTATAGGTGTCTTTAAAATGAAAGGCTACTTTTTGCACTTATAAACTCAGTTTACAGACATAAGTACAATATAAGTATTTGTTAGTTAGCATATTACATAGAGAGATTTTTAAAATTTAAAAATTGATTATTTAACAAAATTATGTGTTGCAATTATCATTTATTAACGTAAGAAAACAGGCTTTTCTCTAAGAAAACGTTTATTATATCACAATATATTATTAGCTCTATAAAACATGAATATGAATTTTTGAAACTAGAGGAAAAATTGTAAACTACTAGGCGACCGAAAAGCAAACAGGTTGATTTAAACTATAGATATAGTTAACTAGGTTTATTTTAAATAACATACTGAAAGTATTATCTTAATAAACAAATACCGAAATACGAATATCTGCCACAAATACTAAGTATTAGTTTATTTGTTCGTCATTCATCATGTCTACAGATTAAGTCTTTGAAAGTCCCAGAATCGTGAAAAGTCGTGCCCAAGGAAAAACCTTATTGGATTTGGCACAAAAGTTACGATGACACCAGATATAGCAATTGTAGCTTTGAAAACTGCCTCACGAAAGATTTCTGTAGACTAGAGGTCAAACCATCTCCTCAGGTCTTTCAGCCACGAGTTCTGGCGTCTTCCTTGCCCTGTACATGTTGTTGACATCCGGTTTTCTTTAGCTTCTCTCAATATTATATTGGGTTTTCTTATGTTTTCGTCTTAATGTGCGTTCATAACGAGGCGAAATGCACAATAAATGCATTTTATTTTAAATTAGAGCGTTCACTGTGCTATGCTCTAGGCGAGGATACGATGCGATGGTCTCCGTAATGAAGACTTCGTAATGAAAGCTCATGAGGTCCATGATCTCTTGCGCTATCTATTTTTATTTTCTGCTGTTTTTTTTTAACCCGAGGTCTTCTTCAATCTCTGTTACTTTAATTTTTAGAGCAGTGCATGTTACTTCAACGTCTGCCTGTATCAAATTCTCCATCTTTTCTATTTTTTTCTCAACCTTGATATTTTATTTGTTTTTTTCTTTCAGGGTTCTTCTTCTTTTGAGATGTCAGTTCAGACATTTTTCTTGTCACTTTTTGTCTTTTAAGATAAATATAGAGGATATTTGATTTATTTTTTATTTCACTTCGTAGTACTACTAGTTAACTTTTTTCACAGATTGTCAACTTCTATTTTTTAGATAAGTTTCTTTACTAAATTTGAGCCAGTAAATTCTGTCATTTGTTGAACTCGTTTCTATTTGTGGAATGACAAATAAAATATAAATGTATAATATAAAATACAACTTGAAAATAGTATTTTATAATATTATGTTTAATAAACATAAAAGCAAGATGTGTAAATATGTCTGTTTTTTGTACATAATAAAATTATGAGTTTGTAGAAAAGACAATATGAAATAAAATGCTAAATGTTACACGTCCTTACTTACCGTCGTAAAACTTAGAACTCAACTCTCAAGGACCTAGCTGTATTGAAGCTAGTGATATTAATTACTGAAGCATATCTATAATTTTGAATCTTAGAGTATTATTTAATGTAAATATTTGCTTTATATTAAAGTGAAAAACGGTATTATGTGTAAGTCTAAAAAAGCAGTAACTAATATCTATATTTTAACCTCGGTATTTAGATATGGGAAATTAAGGTTTTACCAAATTTTAGTTAAATCAGAATTCATAGTAAAAATAAATGCTGTGCATGAAAGCAAGTACTCTCAGTATTCAGTAAAGGACTAATTAATAGACCATTTGACTATAAAATACTCTGGCTTCATGTAGACGTCCATTTTGTCACAAGACAACGTACTTTTACTAACCTGACATTCTTGTAAACAAGTAAGATGTATGTGGTTGATATTGGCTTCGAATACCGTTTTTTTTTTTATGTTTGGTCTCGTAGGTCTTTAACCCGTTTAGATAAAACCGTATTCTTCTTCTTCTTCTTTTTATGTAGACATGCCTGTCTATTTTTATTGTACCTCCAGTAAGCTGTCGGTCCATATTTTTCGTGGTCTTCCTATTGATTGAGGAACCGTCTCTTGCCGTCTTTACTACTCTATTTGTTGTCATTGGGTTTATATGATCGTTCCATTCTACTCTTCTATTTCTTACATAGTTCTTGATGTTCTCCACCTTGCATCTACACCGTATATCTGTACTTCTAGCTCTGTCCCGTAGTGTCTTGCCATCAATTTTTTTAAGTGTTTTTATCTCTGCTGTTTCTAACATCCTTTTCTCCTCTCCATATTGTTTCATTCAGACAGCCTGCAGCTCTGTTTGCTCTTATTCGCTTGATACAGTTTCGAGCTTTTACTAGCTAGATAATGTGATGCCTAGATATTTAAACTCCGTCACTTTTTCTATTATCTGACCTTTCAGGTCCATTTAACATCTTAGTAAATTTGCTGTTGCAACCATGCATTTTGTCTTTTTTTGGGGAAATTAACAATAGCTGTTTGGTTAGATGTGGTCCTCGTACTTTAGGAGTTCATTCGGTATTCTGTCCTCTACTGGCGATTTTCTATTTTATAATTTCCTTAACGCTTAGTTTACCTCTTCCTCATTCATTATAGGCCAAGCAATACTATTAGGTAAAAAATCATAATGAACTTTGATGGTACACAAGGCAAATATCGAACACAGTATTTAATCAAATCTTGCCCAAGTACTTTCGATCACAAGATCATCTTCAGGGGCATTTCGTCAGTTGTGGCCTATCCAGCAGTAACAGAATGTCATTGTAAACAATTTACATTTATGACATTCTGTTACTGCTGGATAGGCCACAACTGACGAAATGCCCCTGAAGATGATCTTGTGATCGAAAGTACTTGGGCAAGATTTGATTAAATACTGTGTTCGATATTTGCCTTGTGTACCATCAAAGTTCATTTATTCGAACATTCAACCTTATATTGGTTGAAAAATCATAATATTATCGCGTTATCCTGGAAGTAACAGGTTAATGCGGGAGTTCTTACTGTGTCAAGAAATGAACTACATTTTAAGAAATTTGACCATATTTTGTAATAGTAAACTATAGTCGGAAAAGCTCAAACCACTAATTCCTATGGCGAACTTCTGTTCCCCCATTTATCTCTAGATCATGCGGATCGTACTTCTTTAAAAGGACCACAAGGTAATAGAGGGTGATGTTCGTAAGCATTTTTATAATAGTCGTTGTTGATTTCGTAAGGATTTTTTCTCTTAAGTCTAGTTGTTGAAGAATGAGTCTTCACGTAAATTAAATCTAAGTATGTTAACTAGAGTGATACGGAAAAGTAAGTATCATGGGGAAAATTACTATTACATACTACATACTATAAACAAAAGTTGATCCAGATTACACAAAGTCAACAAAATGTTAGCCTTTTGACTGATATCGATATTATAAGATCCCTAAAATATTTTGGACAAAGTATACTGCCGAAAACGCACATTCTTATTTTTAAGCTTATTAAGTTAGAGTTCAATAAAACAAAAAGTTATATATGGCCTATATGTGAACATGGCAAATCATTTTTAACTTAATTACGAAAAAATACGAGAGGTATGATTAATAATTTATGATTGTATTTATTCTTCCGTCATTAGGTGATGGTGATCTACGTTTTTTGTCAATCTAAATCAAAGAAGCATTTAAAACCTTTTGAAATGTGGACCACTTGTTAAACTAATGTGCATTTTATGCTGGTCAAATAGTAAACTAAGAAAAGGCCTTTAGGGAACGTGTAGACCATCTATTCATCTAATGTGCATTTTTGTGTTGTAGTGAAGAAAAGGCCGATACGGAACTTGAAGCCTTGGCTACTTAAAAACTTAGTCTCTTATTTGGAATATAAACCGTGATAAAAATGATAAAAGCCAAGTTTTACAGGTTTATGGAATAATTCTTCACAGGAAGAATATCCAATAATTACTAAAATACTATTTTTAAATTCCAAGACAAGTGTATCAAGACATTAACAGTTTTAATTACGTGAACAGTTCTTACATAACCACAAATATTACTCATTGAATGTAGGTATCATTCCATTCCTGACGTGTGAAAAATGTCTCTCCAGTCCTAGAACGAGGAACCTTGTTCTTGGGCTTCCCTTTTTCTCTTACCAATGAGTCAGTCAAAGAGCGTTTTTCTAGATGGGTCAAAATATGACCAATGAAATGAGTTAAATGGATTTAAAGAATTGTAATTATATTGAACTAGTGATTTCTCTCAATCATAATATAGAACTGCCTGAACAATATTATTACGTACGATTTAATGGTCTAACACGTAACTGCATGTATATTTTATTTTAACACCTTTTGACGAACAATACATCAAAAGTTTGTTCATGAAAATATTTTTGATAATTAAAATCATTATTTATGTCATAAGTAATTCAAAATTCATAGGAAAACAGCCTTAATTCTAATCGTTGATTTCAACATATCTGCTTTGCATTCCGATTTCCTTAGAGAACTATTGAAAAGACAATATTTACTTAAGATTTTGTTTATTTTTTATAAGTTTGCGAATTATGTAATATATTATGTATTTATATAGTTTTGTACAATACTATCTAAGAAAAACTATCTGTTAAGTGTTTGTAAAAAGTACATTTACGCTACTATATTGTACATAGAAACTCATAATTTTTAGAACTCGAGAATATTTATGGAAATTATAAAAAAAATCAGAATACAACAATATTTTTCTTATTTAAATGTGCCCCATCTGCAAGATAGCCAAACTTTAATTTTATTGTATATTCGCATATCCAATTCCCAACTCTAAATATATATATATATATATATATATATATATATATATATATATATATATATATATATATATATTATATATATATATATATATATATATTGTTATCAATACAAAATACACTATGAACCGACAAATCTAAAACAAATGAGAACTAAGAAAATGAATGAGTAGGAATGTCGAAAATGACACGGATCAAGAATTCAAGACGCAATATCGCAGTGGCTACTAGCAAATCATGTCATGTAAATTTTAACAACATCGTAT